GGGGGCGGAGCCGCCTCTGGCCCCGCTGCTGGGACCCCCTCAGTGCCCGGCCCTCGCACCCCTGGCAACCCGGCGACGGCGGCTTCGGGGACTCCCGCGCCCCCGGTCCGGAGTCAGGCGGACAAGCCGGTGCTGGGTGAGGGGGGGGCACGCGCTAGGGAGGCTCTGAGGGTCGGCGGGCTGGGGGAGGGGCAACAGGGTTTGGCAAGCCGAAGGTAGGCCTGGCCCAAAGGACTAACCGGTCCGGGAGCTGCCGAACAAATTATCAGTGGATTCCCCTGGAGGGAAATCTTGCTTGCATCTTCCTGAGCGGGAAGGCGGGGCGGGCAGGTCCAGCTAGGGCCTTGGGTAGGAAAATAAAGCCTCAGGGCCCCGCCCCGGTTAGCTGGAGACTTGGTGTAGTTGACTCTGGTTCTTGTTAGGTAAACCTTTGAGTTTGGGGGAGCAGGTGCAGTGGGGACCCTTACGTTTGGGAGGGCTAGAAGGGCTGTAGAATTTTGACTCTGAGGGTTGACCAGGTGAGTACCTGGTTCTAGGTGAAGGACCTGAACTTTGTAGGATGTGAGGAGCGTGTGTTTGAACATCTGAATCCCCTCGCTGTGTGAGGGATTCCAAATAGTAGAACCGGGGTAAGAACACTTTGACTTTGACGCTCCCAGTGAAATCTGGTGAGTCGAAACTTAATAGGGAGACAGGTTAGATTTTTAGCTTAGTTTCTCTCAAAATTCAGCCCAACTCCGTCTCTTCCCCCATCTTACTGTCCCCACTGCATCTCTGCCTGGCAGCAATCCAAGTCCTGGGCACTGTCAAATGGTTCAACGTCCGGAATGGTTACGGATTCATCAACAGGTATCCAAGGAACCCAGGGAGGGGGAGGAACGGGTGTCTTATTTTGAACTGGCCTGTGGGATTGGACACATTTCATCTCTACCCCTGCCAAGGCACATGGTTGTGATGTCCAGCTGAGGCTGGTTGAGAGTCTTTAACCACAGCACAAACGTGTGCTTACTGGCAAGACGAAGCTGCATCCGCATCTTCAAGGGCAGCAGAGGATTAATGATCCAGGAACTTGGCAAACCTGACCCTGACCTTCCCAGCTCCTCTGTCTCACCTTCTGGAGTTGCTTCATTATTTTTAGCTTGCTCTGTGCCTTTGGAGTAGAACGTTTGGGGCTCCTCCTTGGAGCCCTCACTGGTTTCCTGGTTAAGGGAACACTCATGGCACCTATACAAATTCTCTAAAGAGCTGTGGCTCATTTGAACCAGCTCCCCTGCACCCACCTGATGGAACTGAAGCTGGCGGGGGAGTGCCTGCCCAGCCAGAGACTGCTGCCCTTTTTCGGTTGGCAGCCACACCCCTCTTAGCTGTGGGAGAGTCTATGGCAGGTCTCCCCTACTGTGGCCTTCCCCAGCCCAGGCACCCTGCCCAGCCAAGTCCTCCTGGGAGCCTCCGTTCCCTCTTTGCAGGCTGACCTTTGTGCAGACCCATGTTCTTTAAAGCTAGAACACTTGTTCTGGGGAAGGCGGTTTCCTGCAAGGATGCCTCCTGCTCCCTGTCCTGGGATTAAAGAAGTCACAGGCAGGGTGGTGATGAAGAATGGGAGCGTTGTCTTTTCATTCTGTTCAGTGTGTGTGGAGGGTGCTTATGGCTCCCCTCTAGGCTGAGGGTAAAGAGAAGACGGTGCGGCTGTTGGGGACTGCACCTATGTGTGCCTTGCTCTCTCCTTACAGCTGGGTGCCCTGGCCCTGCTTTCTCCCTCTTTGATCCTAGAAGGAAGGAGCCTGTGGAATTTTCCAACCCCAAAAGGGGTTAAGGGGAGGAGGGGACATTGGCCAGGGACAGTTGCACCTGGCGCCAGCAGGTTCTGAGGTGCCTCTGGGGTAGAAGGTGAGGCTCTCCTGGTTTCTTCAAGGTGCCTTTGCAGCCTCCTTCCTTTTCCCTATGAAGTCCTCTTTCTTGCTGGGGATTTGCAGCGTGTTCTCTGCACCAGCTTTCGGGGACCCTGCTGCTTGTTCTTTCCCAGGCCCCCAGTACACCCCCAGGATCTGAAACAGTGGAGAGGATGGGCCCATCTTGGGAATGGGCACCTAGGGAGGCCTCAGTGGAAATGAGTGCCTCACCCGTCACCCCCTTAACCACCCATCCTGTTCTGCAGGAATGACACCAAGGAGGATGTCTTTGTTCACCAGGTAAGAGCTAGGTTGGCTTTCTGAGGGGAGGCACCAGCCCTCTCTGTGGAAGCCTTTGCCGCAACCTCTAGCTGCACACGATATGTTTCTCTGGCTCTTAACTTCACAACGGCCTGCCCATGAGGAATAGCCGGCCTCCCATCCACCTCAGGTGCCTGTGTGAACCACCATTAGCCCCACTTCCGTTGAGTGGCTGAACAGCTGTCAGAGTTGTGCATGTTGCCCTCAGGGCCTGGCATACCCACCACCTCCTGGGACCTGTTAACACCACAGGAAGGAATTAGGCAGTTTTCCGAGGGCAAGGCCAGAGACACTTGGGTGCAGTGAGTCTCAAAGTGCGTTCCCTGCACCAGCAGGCAGCAGCATCACCTGAATTCTCAGGCCCTGCCCAAGGTACCAAGTTAATGAGCCTTGGGGCTGGGTGCTCTGTTCTAACACGCTCCCAGGTGATTCTGCTCCTGGCTAGTTTGAGAACCACTGCTGTGGTGGAGAGTGCTCAGTGGGATCCAGGTAAGGAGCAACTTAAGACATTTCAGCCTTTGTTTTGCTTTTGAGTTTCTACTGCCTCCATTTTTTTTGAAGTCCCTGAGGGGTGAAGGGAAGGGAGGACATCTTGGGGACCATGGTGACTTTACAGTGGATCCCTCAGACCTCTCACTCATGACTTTCCCTACTAACACGTTCACTTCTGTGCTGTGGGGCTGCGCTCCAGGCCCTGGCCCCACTTTGAACACTTTCCTGCTCTCCGCTTCAGCCCTGGACTCCAGTAAAATGTCAGAGTGGAGCTGGGTGGAGGCTGAAGCTGGTGAGAGGTCCTGGTCTCTGCCCTCACTTTTCTCATGGCTTTCCCCCCAACTAGACAGCTATTAAAAGAAACAACCCCAGGAAGTTTCTGCGGAGTGTTGGAGATGGGGAGACCGTGGAATTTGATGTCGTGGAAGGAGAGAAGGTTTGGGAGCTGCTGTGGGGTGAAGTTGGCCAGGACTGTGGGAGGGTGGCCTGGTTGTCAGCCTAGGCTTTGATCCTCTTGGGGCCAGCTCTGCCTCTTATTGCGGGGATGGGGCCTGTGCTCTCTCTCCTGGATGTTGTGGGATGTTAGGGCTGTTCTAGGACACGTCCTAAAGAACCCATCCCTGCCACCAGCCAGTAACATGTGGGTTTCTTCTCTCTAGTTCACCAAGCACTTCCGTGTGTGTTCTCTACACGGGACCCCAGCCCTAGCAGGACCCTCCTCAGTCAGTCCTCTGGAGTGAAGGAGGGAGAGTGGCCCTCTCTATCTCATCCTGTCCTGTCTTTACACTCTGGGGGGAATGTGGCAGTTATTTCTCAGGACAAGTTGTTTCTTCTCAGATGGGTACAAACTCCTTCTGCTGCCCCTTGGGGGAGGGGAGAAAGGAGTGATTTTGAGGGGCTACAGGATAGAGGACTTGGGCCAGAAGAAGGGGGACACCAGTGATCTGGCAGGTTTGTAAGTGCTGTGTGCTTGTGACCAGGACAAGTTCTGACTACTCCTTCTCTGCCTCCCCAGGGTGCAGAAGCTGCTAATGTAACTGGGCCTGGGGGGGTGCCAGTAAAGGGCAGCCGCTACGCCCCCAATCGGCGGAGGTTCCGCAGATTCATACCCCGGCCTCGCCCAGCTGCCCCACCACCCATGGTGGCAGAGGCTCCCTCAGGTGGGACTGAACCTGGCAGCGAAGGGGAACGGGTAGAGGACTCAGGGCAGCGACCTAGACGACGGCGCCCACCACCCTTCTTCTATCGAAGGCGGTTTGTGCGAGGCCCTCGGCCCCCTAACCAGCAGCAGCCCATAGAGGTGAGATAGAGCAAGCTGTGAGGGAGGAGACCAGAGAGTCCTCATAAAAGAAAAACTAAGACTAGGAAGAGCCAAAGATGAGTTGGCCAAGGGACAGCAGGGGGCTAAATAGCTCACCTAGGCCTTGTCTCTTCCCAGGGCTCCGATGGGGTAGAACCCAAGGAGACAGCCCCATTGGAGGGGGACCAACAGCAGGGAGATGAACGGGTGCCCCCACCCAGATTCCGGCCCAGGTACCGAAGGTAAGACTATACTGTGTCTTCCTTCAGGGTTCAGTATTGGGCCCATGTAAAAGGACAAGAATTCTAAAAGTTCTAAGAGCCTGGGATAAGAAAATAGAATCCTAGGGGAAGGGAGTCTACCCTGGGTGCCCCGGTCCTGTCAGAGATTGTTTCTTTTCTAGGCCTTTCCGCCCTAGGCCACCCCAACAGCCTACCACAGAAGGTGGGGATGGCGAGACCAAGCCCAGCCAAGGCCCCACTGATGGCTCCCGGCCTGAGCCCCAGCGTCCACGAAACCGCCCCTACTTCCAGCGGCGTCGGCAGCAGCCCCCTGGCCCCCGGCAGCCTATAGCCGCAGAGGTGGGGTCTTAGTTGCCCGAAACTCAGTGTGGGAAAGGCCAAGATCAGTTGCCCTCTTTCTGTCCTTTTCCTTTGCTTCAAATTCAGTTCTTTGGCCCTCTGCTTTCCTTGTCCCAGCCCCTCCCTCCCCTGTCAGCCTGCTTGGCCCACCCTGGCAGACAGTAGGATCACCAGGAAACCCCAGCACAGGCAGTCAAGTCCAGATTGCCTTGAATGAATGCCCTGCGCTCCTGTCCTCAGCTGTTTGGGGTGTGAACTGTGGGAGTTGGTTGGAAGGGGCAGAAGAGGGAAGTTAAGAGAAAGTTGAAGCAGGTTGTGAACCGGTCTTAACTAGCCACTGCTGTCTTTAGACCTCAGCACCTATCAACAGTGGGGACCCCCCCACCACCATACTGGAGTGATTCCACCTCAGGACACCCAGAGCTACCATCTGGTGAGTTGCTGCTGACTAAGAAAGCCAGAGACTGGGTTCTGCTGTCATCCTTTATGACTTGTCTTTTTTCCCTCATTCTTAGGTATCTGCCCATTTCCAACTGACTCTACCCAGCATCCCCCTTTCCCATAATTCATGACATCAAAACATCAGCTTTTCCCTTGAGACTCAGGAGGGCCAAAGCAACAGCCTTTGGCTTTTTCTCTTTTCCCCTCTCCCCTCCCAAGGGTTGCAGGAAGGGATCCGTCCTTTACCTTTCAGAGGCACCACCTTCCTCCCTAAGTCAGGCTGAGAAGGACCAGCCGGCTCTTCACCTCCTCCTGCTTGTTTTTCTTACCCACCCATTTATTTTTTGTTTCCCTTCGACCTCCTCCCAACACCTCTGAAGCCATTTTATGAACTGTCACGTGCCACCTGAGCCTCCAGTAAAAACAAAAGCAGGCTTTCTTGGTGTCTCAGTCTCTGCCTCTTTTCTGTTGGAAATGAGGGATCATTGGTGACTTACTTCTGGACCACCCTGCATGGGGTTAAGATGTGCGCGCGGACAGTTCGTTCTGACAAGAACTCTCATCACTGAGAATCACACATGGGTCCGTTAGCTGAGGGGAGACCTCTGCAGTGCCTGGGCGCTTGTCAGTGTGGTTTATAAAACATTTACTGTTAACTGAAGCAATGGAGAAAGTCAGAGTAAGGAGCCAGATGTACTCAACACTCAGGAAGTTGAGTCAGGAGGGTTCCTAATTCCAGGCCATCCTGGGCCACATAGACTCTTTTTGTCAGTGTTTTTAAAAAGTGGGGCATTTGGATTCAGGCCTGTAACCCCAGAACTCTAGGAGGCTGAGGCAAGAGGCTGACTACAAGCACAAGGCCAGCCTGGCTGTATAGTAAGACCGTTTTTGTTGTTGCTGGTCGGTTTTTTGAGACAGGGTCTTACTATGTAGCCCTGGCTGTTCTGGAATTTACTCTGTAGACCAGGTTGGCCTTGAACTCAGAGATCTGCCTGCCTCTGCCTTCTCAGTGCTGGAATTAAAGGGTGTGCCACCACCACCCATTGAGACCCTGGTGGGTTTTTTGGGGTTTTTTGGGGTTTTTTTTGTTTGTTTGTTTGTTTGGTTTTTTTTGTTTTGTTTTTTTTTTATGGGGTGATAGAAGTGGATATGAATAACTGACAGAATCTAGACTCTAGAGGCTTCTGAGCCCTTGAGCCAAGGCAGAACGAAAAGGAGTGAGGGCAACTTGTCTGTCTTACCCACCCTCCAGCTCCTCCATGACAGGACACTCATCTTCATACAGTGACTTTATGGATGAATCTCTATATACACATTTAATACAGCAGCCCTTGGGTTTCTGCTACCTACTTGTTCTTCAAAACATAGAAAAATATCCAAAGGCTCCCTCCCAACCAGTGTTTATAGGCAGCCTTTCAAATCCCCTCTTGCCCTTAGTTGGTCAAAAGCTTTCAGGTCTAGCACTCTTCCTGGAGGGGAACAAGAAAGAGCTGGTACCCACACTTGGCAGCTGTGGGGAACAGGCTAGCGCCCCAAGCCTAGAGACTGATGCTTGCTACTGCTCCTTACCACACTCAGGTATATACTGTTGTGTTCCTTTGCCCTGGAAGGTGGAGCCTCCAGGGACTGAGGAGAGGATAGGCTTTGGGAGGGTGTGTCCTTTGCCCTGGAGGGGTCAAGACAGAACCCCCTTCACCCAGAGTCTATGTGGCAAGAATTCAGGGTAAGTGCCAAATTGTGGGCAGAGTCGGAGTTGGTAGGAAATCGCTCGTCTCATATCCACCTCTGCTCCTGCTCATCCCACTGAATTCAACCCAGCACCTCCCTCTGCAGGTCCACTTCTCTAAAAGGAGTAAAACTATTCTGGGGCTGAGTCTGGGTAGGGGCAGGAGGAAGGCAGAAGAGGAGAATAGCCCACTGGGTGGCCACAGCCTAGCCACAACACATAAATAATCCAAGTCATAGGAGGGGAATGAGGCGGTACACGAACCACCCTTCCCTCAGCTTCCCAGTTCTCCAGGCTGCAGTTTCTCCATCCTGGAGGTGATGGGAAAAGGGGGCTAAAGTGCTGCAGAGGAAAGGAGGGGCGTGGGTGGAGAGGGCGGCTCTCCCACCCTGCCTTGCCCCTCAGTCATTCTCATCTGGCCCTAAGTATTCAAGTTCTGTACTGGGTTTCACCTCCTGCTCTAAGAGGGAAGGTGTCCGACGGAAGGCAGCTGAGATCTGGTCAAACGTCCGGCCTCTGGTTTCAGGCACTTTTAGGAAGGTGAAGGCGAAGAAGCCAAGCAGGAGGACGGCAAATAGAAGGAAGACGTAGGGACCCATAGCATCCTGGGACAGTCGGAGAAAGAGGTGTTGACAGAGGGGTGGGAAGCAAGGAGCTAAAGACTAATAGGGAGCTGGGGCTACTTCAAGGAGCAGGTGAGTCCTTCAAGAGATACCAGAAATGACCAGAAATTAAAATTTACATGGAAAATACCATTTAGCTTTTCACCCTTTGCTATCCTAAGAGCATACACTTGGAGTAGATTCCTAAGCCACTTATAGCATTACTAGAAAGCTTATCATTTTATTTCTGGTCTAAATTATACCACTGTTTATTTTTTAAAAGATAACTCTGCTGCTGGCCCATCTATTCCCACTTGTTTGACTCTGGTGTAGTTCCACCAGAGTGGCCATCCAGAAACTACCTGTGAGCCTGGGAGTCCCTGACCAGACAGCGTGGGAACTAGGGGTGGGTGACCACTGGTAATGGGAAACTGGGCAAAGGGCAGGGAACCTACCGCAACATACTGGAAACCCATGCCAACAATGAAGTTACAGGTCCAGTTGGAGAAACCAGCTACAGCCATGGCTGCTGGGCGGGGTCCCTGGCTGAAGAGCTCAGCTACAATGAACCAGGGGATGGGGCCAGGACCGATCTCAAAGAAGGCCACAAAGCCAAATATGGCCAAGATGGAGACATAGCTCATGGCTGGGACCCGTTCCTAGAGACCAGGAAAGAATGGCAGAAAATTAGATTCCTGCCTATCTAGATCCCTCCCCTTGCCCTTGGCCCAGAGAACTGAAATCTCCTTTCCAGGGCTTGTTGGATAGAGGTTGCCATTCTAGGCTAGAACAGGCCCTGGAGCACCCCCTCTTCACCCACTTTTCAGACAGGGTCTCACTGTGTTACCCAGATGGGCCTGGAACTCTCAGTCTTTCACCACAGCCTCCCAAATGTTGAGCTGCCGTGGAGCAGGCCTGAGTGCTGCCATTTTGTCTGCCTCAGATGGCTTCCAGGTGGAGACCTCTTGGTCTCTTGTCCTGTAGTGGTTGATTCCCAGCTTGGCTCTGAAGATGTTTCTTTGGGAATTATGGCTCCTGAGGCTTCACAGGGACTGCTAGACTTGGACTATAGCTAGGTCCTGATGTGGCCAGGGTACTTCAGAAGCAGACCAGACTCTAGAACCAAGCTCCCATGGTCCCGGCACACAGTCCCAGAGCCCCGTGAGGTTATCCCCATGAGTTGGACCGCTGTGTTCTCAGCCCCCAGGCCTCACCAGCAGGAGCAGAGCCATTGTCATCAAGATGGCACAGCCACACATGCCTGCCAGGCCTAGGAGATGGAGCGTCCGTCGCCCAGCCCGTTCTACCAAGAGCACCTGTTGGGGTGGGGGTGGGGAGCTGGTCAGTTGGGGAAAAACAAGAGTAGGCTCTCCAAGGCACCCAGGGCTAAAAACCCAGTGATGTGGCGGTTCCACAGGCAAGCAGTTACCGAGACCAACGTGAAGACCGTGTTGACCACGCCAGCTCCGATGGTGGCGTAGGCTGGTTGTCCTACGCCAGCTGACTCGAAGATGCTGGTTGAATAGTAGAAAACCTAGAAGTGAGGGAGCAGGAAAGACCATGGCAGGGATGTCTGGTCCTTCTTTCCAACCACACCAAACTGGACTGAGCCTGAATGCTGATAGAGGAGATGACTTATTCCCTTCTCCCTTTCCCCAAATTGCTACCTGACTCACTGTCTGCCTGGGTCTCCATACGTACAGCATTGATGCCGGAGAGCTGCTGGCTCAGTTGTAGCACAACTGCAATGATCAGAGGCTGCCGGTGGGTGCGGCTGCCCAGGAGCTGGGGCAGAGACATGGGCCGCTCTCGTTCCAACTTCCGCTTCTCATCCTTCAGTTCAGCCAGTGCATCAGACACATCAGCCCAGCCTGTGAGACGCTTCAGACCTGGGGGTGGGGAATGTCAGGCCTTATGGAGCCTGAGAGGAGGAGGGGTACTAGCAAGATGGATGGGATGGAGGTGTGAGCCTGGGCTATATGCAAGGTGAGAGCTCACTCTTTCGGGCAGGCCCCTCCAAATTCCGGATGATGTAGAGGTATCTGGGGCTCTCGGGACAGAAGGGCAACAGAATCAGCTGCAGGAGGGCAGGAAGTACTGTGATAGCCAGAAGCAGTGGCCACAGGGTAGCTGTGCCCAGCATAGACTCCAAGCCCAACACCTGTGGGAGAAGGTAGGAAAGATAGGTGTCTTTACTCCTTCCTGCCCAACTATGGATGTCCAATCCAACTCCTACTCCTAACTCCTTTCAAGGCCAGGCCTATTTACCTGGGCAATTAGAATGCCAATGACGATGGCCAATTGGTTGAGTGTTCCCAAGGCACCCCGAAGATGAGTGGGGGCGATTTCTCCCACATACATAGGCACCAACCCTGACGTTAGCCCTGAGCAGAAGGAAAAAAAGAGGGCTGAGGGTAGCTGCATCTTCCCTTACAGAAGCCCATACGTGATTAAGGACAACAGGGGCACAGAATAGAGCCATCGCACCCATGGATACCTGAGTAGGCGCCAATGAGGAACCGTCCGAGAATGAGTATCTCATAGGAGGCAGCGGCATTGGCTAGGCCCATGAGGGTGCCCCCCAGCACTGCCAAGACATTATTGGCCAGCATAGCCCTTTTCCTGGCAGGCACACAAAGAGGAGGGCTGGTCAGGGCACCCATGCTACGGCCCTCCTTCCTACCTCCCCATCCCTGCTCTTTCCAGCTCCATACCTTCCCAACCATTGAGAAATGATGCCAACGAGGAAGGAAGAAATCATGCCGCCCACAGAAAAGATGGCCACGGAGAGAGCCCAGAGTGTAGTAAGAGTGGCTTGTGGGATGGAATTGGGTCCCTCAGGACCCTGCCTCCCCAGCCATGTCGCATTGTAGCTCTGTTCAATCACCTGGGGGACGACATGGGAGTGAATCTAGAGACCGCTTTCCGTCACCTCTGAGTGCTCACCCCAACAGCTGTACCATCTCTCACCTTCTGTGGGGCATTGATGACCCCAATGTTGTAGCCAAACTGAAGGGAGCCGAGCACAGCCGAGAACACAGCAAGGACTAGAGTCCCAGTCACCCTCTGCCGAGGGGGTTCCCCATCCTGGACAGACAGAAACAAAGGGAAGCGTGT